ATATGCATATATCGGATTTATTCTATCTATTATAGTTTTCGAGTGTATCTATACTTTAGTAAATATTTGGAAAATTGCTCACTGCTACTAATATTCGCGCCTCCCCTTTGACTAGTCCACGCCTCTCCAGGGAGGCGTGCCTCACAGTTTGGAAAACGCTGTTGTAACTAGTGGATTTATATAAGTAACTTTCATCTAAACGGCTGTACGTACAGATGTTATATCATCCACCCTTTATTCCCTAAATATTCATTTTTAATACCATACTTCATATTTATTAGGCTGCAGCTATAAATATTCTGCTTTTCTATCCATGTTCAAAATCTTGTCTACAATTAGCAGAATTCGAGAAAATTCATTGAAATGTAAAGTGTTTGGGATGTAATGAAAATGCGTTAAAACTGCAATCTTGCATACTTCATTAATCCTTCTTGCTCGGAGATCGGGTCGTTAGCCATTATCCAATATTTATGATAATTAAAAAGGAAGGATTTAAGAGCGTCCCCGCTGCTGCTGCTGCTGCAGCATCGTTCATTTCAGCAAACAATAAATCCGCAGTCAATTTGCGCATGCAAATTAGTCCGGATAGACGTTTTATTTATATATTTATTTATTTTCGTGCTTGCATTTTTCTTCTTTTTTTGGGTTGTAAATAGTTACCGCAATATTCCAGCATGCAGCAGATATACCGGTTTCGCGTCGCGTTTTGATACGCGATCTTCCACGCACCACACACTAACTACCCGCGTTTTGCATATTCATTATTAGATAGATAGATATAGTGTGCACATGCGATCGCCTCGAAAGCAAATCATAAATAAACGCGAAAATGGAAAGATTATATGGTCGGCGGACGTGAGGCAACTGCAGATTTTCCAATTAAAAGTGGAAAAAAATAAAAAAAAATAAAAACGAGACTGAAGTTTGAAAATAATTCGGTAATAAGTTAATTATCTAGAAAGTAATAATGTCTTCTGAAAAATGCACGAATGAGTGGTGGTGGAGGTTGATGTATTAGGATAGGTCTGAGTCTGTTTGTGGAAGTTTTCGTTCTTGATGTTTATTTCTTTGGCCTTTGGTTTCGAGGGGAGGGTGGTTGGGGTAGGAGAAGGGTAATTAGTATGTAGGGAGCGTCGGGGTGAAGCTTACATAACTGGGTTAGGCTCCGGGGAATTTCTCTCCTCTTTTTCCCCACAAGTCTCGGGGACTTTGCGAGTCGTCGGAATCAATAGAATAGAAGGGATTATCTTACATCAGGTGGTCGTGAGATTACCTTTAGTTTGCATTTTGCGTTGTTCTTAATGTTGCAAAATAGGGAAAAGGAAATCTTAGAGCTTGTATGAATCAGTAAGACTTTTATTTTTAATATTAACAGTTTACAAATTAAGGAATTTGATTCATTTTTAACTGAAAGAGATTCTATTTAGGTTGTGTTACTAAAATTAAACTGTAATTATTTAGCTTTCATTTAGATATAATCATTTAGTAATATCAATATTGGTTTACTAGAAATTCACAAAAAATTGAAGGTTTTGTATAAGTAATTACAAATTTCTTTACTAACATTTTGTTAATTAATTGAGACTAAACTACAAATCACAGAAAAATGATTTCATACTCAAATTAAAGTGTAATTATTTAGATTTCATTTAGATATAAACATTTAGTAATATCAATATTGGTTTACTAGAAATTCACAAAAAATTGAAGGTTTTGTATAAGTAATTACAAATTTCTTTACAAACATTTTGTTAATTAATTGCGACTAAACTACAAATATCAGAAAAATGATTTTAAACTCAATTTAAACTTTAAATATTCAACATTCATTTATATATAAACATTTAGTAATATCAACATAGGTTTACTAGAAATTCACGAAATATTGAAGGTGTTGCTTAAATAATTACGAATTTCTTTACATTCATTTTGTTAATTAATTGCGACTAAACTACAAATCTCAGAAGAATGATTTTATACTTAAATTAAACTGTAATTATTTAGCTTTCATTTAGATATAAACATTTAGTAATATCAATATTGGTTTACTAGAAATTCACGAAAAATTGAAGGTGTTGTATAAATAATTACGAATTTCATTACTTACATTTTGTTAAATAATTGCGACTAAACTACAAATCTCAGAAAAATGATTTTATACTTAAAATAAACTGTAATTATTTAGCTTTCATTTAGATATAATTATTTAGTAATATCAATATTGGTTTACTAGAAATTCACAAAAAATTGAAGGTGTTGTTTTAATAATTACGAATTTCTTTACATACATTTTGTTAATTAATTGCGACTAAACTACAAATCTCAGAAGAATGATTTTAAACTCAAATTAAACTATAATTATTTAGCTTTCATTTAGATATAATCATTTAGTAATATCAATATTGGTTTACTAGAAATTCACGAAAAAATGAAGGTGTTGCTTAAATAATTACGAATTTCTTTACATACATTTTGTTAATTAATTGCGACTAAACTACAAATCTCAGAAGAATGATTTTATACTTAAATTAAACTGTAATTATTTAGCTTTCATTTAGATATAATCATTTAGGAATATCAATATTGGTTTACTAGAAATTCACGAAAAATTGAAGGTGTTGTTTTAATAATTACGAATTTCTTTACTTACATTTTGTATCGGGGACTTTGCGATTCTCCAAGGGAAGTCGTCGGAATCAATAGGATAGAAGGGATTATCTTACATCAGGTGGTCGTGAGATTACCTTTAGTTTGCATTTTGCGTTGTTCTTAATGTTGCGAAATAGAGAAAAGGAAGTCTTAGAGATTATATGAATTAGTAAGACTTTTCTTATTGATATTAACAGTTTACAAATTAAGGAATTTGATTCATTTGTAATTGAAACAGACACATTTTAATATTTGTTTGATTTTTTGCGTGTGTGTTGGGGGATGGATGAGATAGGATTCGCCCCCTCATCCATGTCAAACTGATGGATACCTGCTGCGGAATTATGAATTTCAATTGCAATATCACGCAGGTGATCCCAACTGGTCCGGAATGGAAATTGCACATTTGCATGTTGCATATTTCGCTGTAGCTACTATCGTGTTATGACTTTGACTAAGTGGATGATGCTCTCTCCCTCGTCCTCCTCTAACACACATCTCTCTCTCTCTCTCCCTATCTCTTTTCTACTCACGCATTTAGATTGTTATGGGGGGCGGCTGTGAAAACGGCGGTGGTGGCGGCAGCAGGATTGCAATTTCGTGCGACATTTGTTGTCCGCGCAGTTCCCTAAAATTTAATTTCGACGGCCGCTCTAATTGAATTTGCTTTGACTCGACTCTATCGTCCTCTTATTTCTTTTCTTGCAGGATCAAGCGGAACGCGAACGCGGCCCCAAGAAGCAGAAGTTGGCCTGCTGCGATTCCAAGGAAGCGACCGCAGGACCGGTTTCCATGAAATGTCTGAAGAAGTACAAGGTAAATATTGTTAGAAATCAAGCTAAACTTTATTAATTCATCATTTAAAACGAACGTAATTATCAAAGAGAATTCTTGAAATGTATGAGAGTGCTTTGAAATTGTAATTGTATGTGGATTAGTTCTAAATTTCTTTTGCTTTTTCTTGCAGCATTTGGTACATTTTGATTGGTTGTGCGAGAATGAGATGGTCGCTGTTGAGGTGACGCCCATGTCTTTGCTGGAGCAACTTCCACCTGCCTTCAAGAGGAATCAATTCGGAGCGAAATAGTTGTTGTTTTTTTTTTATATAACTCATAATATAACACTTACGTCCTAACTTCAGAAAATAAATATGTTGTTTTTAAATTCACATTTGTCTTATTTCTTCCAGTCTGATGATTCTTAAAGATTAATTGAATTTTTCCATTTCAACTTTATAACTTTCATTTGCATATCAATTATAGTAAAGTTGTAAATCTCAGAAAAAATACGAGAAAACTACAAATCTTTGAAATATATGCTCAAATTTAACTTTCTAGTTTTTATTTGTTTATAAATCTTTATTGATTGACAAATTTTCTTTATATCAATTTTGAAATTAAATTGTTATAAAAGTACAAGTCCCAGAAGTATGATTATATTCTCAAATTAAACTCTGATTATTCATCTTTCATTCAAGTATAAATATATACTCAAGACTTCATTGAATCAAGAAATATCTATTAATAATTGGAGGTCTTAATTTTTTTGTTAATTTACATAAATTTCTTTACATCATTTTTATTCATTAATTACGCAATAACTACAAATCGCAGAAATATGATTTTATACTCAAATTAAACTGTAATTATTTAGCTTTCATTTAGATATAAACATTTAGTCATATCAACATAGGTTTATTAGAAATTCATGAAATATTGAAGGTGTTGTTTTAATAATTATTAATGTCTTTACATACATTTTGTTAATTAATTGCGACTAAACTACAAATCTCAGAAATATGATTTCATACACAAATTAAACTGTAATTATTTAGCTTTCATTTACATATAAACATTTAGTAATATCAATATTGGTTTACTAGAAAATCACGAGAAATTGAAGGTGTTATTTTAATAATTACGAATTTCTTTACTTACATTTTGTTAATTAATTGAGACTAAACTAGAAATCTCAGAAAAATGATTTTAAACTCAAATTAAACTGTAATTATTTAGCTTTCATTTACATATAAACATTTAGTAATATCAATATTGGTTTACTAAAAATTCATGAAATATTGAAGCTGTTGCTTAAATAATTACGAATTTCTTTACTTAAATTTTGTTAATTAATTGCGACTAAACTACAAATCACAGAAAAATGATTTCATACTCAAATTAAAGTGTAATTATTTAGATTTAATTTATATATAAACATTTAGTAATATCAATATTGGTTTACTAGAAATTCATGAAATATTGAAGCTGTTGCTTAAATAATTACGAATTTATTTACTTACAAATTAATTAATTAATTGCGACTAAACTACAAATCTCAGAAAAATGATTTTATACTCATATTAAACTATAATTATTTAGCTTTCATTTACATATAAACATTTAGTAATATCAACATAGGTTTACTTGAAATTTATGAAATATTGAAGCTGTTGCTTAAATAATTACGAATTTCTTTACTTAAATTTTGTTAATTAATTGCGACTAAACTACAAATCTCAGAAGAATGTTTTTATACTCAAGTTAAACTGTAATTATTTAGCTTTCATTTGCATATAAACATTTAGTAATATCAAAATAGGTTTACTAGAAATTCATGAAATATTGAAAGTGTTGTTTTAATAATTACGAATTTATTTACATACATTTTGTTAATTAATTGCGACTAAACTACAAATCTCAGAAGAATGATTTTATACTCAAATAAAACTTTAAATATTCAACTTTCATTTATATACAAACAATTTGTACTATCTTTACTGGTTTATGAGATATTCGGTATAATCTGAAACATAGGAAATTTCCTTTTTGTGTGTGTGTTGTGTGTTATTGTACGAATGAGAGAGAGACACGATTCACATGTTAATCGGAAGGGATCTGCATAATTCTAGTGTCTGTTTAATAATGGCAAAGTCTTGAAGTGTTGGTAAACCATGAAGTTCGAAATACCCAATTTACAAGTGCGAGAAGGGAAACTCATGTTTAATGGAGGATTTCGCCTCGCGTGCAAAAGGGACCAAGGATGAGGACCGACCACCGCAGGACCACTCTCCGTCTTCATCCGAACCAGCAGCATCCTAAATCTCTCTTTCTCTCTCTCTCTCTCTCTTCCACTTTCGGTTTTCCATCCCTCCCCCATTCACATTCACGTCTCTTTCTATTGCATTGCTGTGAGCGCGCGTGTTGCTTGCGTCTCGCTCCGACGACGACGGTTGCAGCAGGCAAGGGCCAGGTCTCTCCGGCTCGTTCATCCTCTCTGAGCCGTATTTGCATCTGCCGGAACGGAACGTCCGTTCCGTTGGGAGATTTATTACCTTACCCTGCGCGCATTATTATACATTCGGCGATGGCCCGAATGGATGAGGATGTGAGTGCAAGGAGGAAGGAAGAAAGCGAATGCAGGAAGATGGAAAGAGATGAAAAAGGGACGAAGCAGCGAACCTTCAGGATTCCTCAACCCCCTTTTCGTACAGAAAACAAAAACAGGCAAACAAACGCCGCGAAGTCCGCCCCATTAATATTAAAACGTTCTGCTGCGGCGCAATTGCAATTCCCTTACGTTATCAATTCAGAATTTCAGCGAGGATTCAACTCTCTCTCTCTCTTTCTCTCCATCTTTTCCATAACCATCTTCCATTTCATTCTATTCCAATTCGCTTTCGCTTTCACTTTTGTTTTGTTCTGTTTCGGTTTTTGCGGATCTGATAAAAATTCATTACACAATGCTGGTGGTGCTGCTGCTGCGCTGGCTGGAGGATTCCCCGACGACCGAAGAATAAATAGGTTTTAATCCTTTTGCCACGGTTCGCTGTTTTAATCCTTTGTTCAGTTAATCTGTTTTGAATTATCTTCTGACCGTGATGCGGCTGGAGACAACGGAGCCGGAAAGAGTGAAATGCACAGAGAGAGTAAATGAAATAAAAGAAAACGTATAGAAAAAGAACAGCGCAGAATACAGACGAAGCGAGGATTTATTTCCGGACTGCAAAAATAATAAATAAATAAGTTTTAGAAGACGAGTGGAAATTCGAGTGCATGAAAATGCAATGAAATATTAATTTCGAACATTAATTACTTCATAATTACGATTACTAGAATTATGATTCTATATATAAATTAATCTCTGATTATTTAACTTTCATTTAAGTGTAAATGCGTAATCAAGACTTCATTATTTTCTGAAATATTCATTAAAAAGCTAGAGTTGTTATTTTTCATTTAATGACAAATTTTGTTTTGACAATTTTGTAATTAAATTACTGAAAAAATACAAATCTCAGCAATATGATTTTAAACATAAATTAATCTCTGATTATTTAAATTTTGTTTAAGTATAAATGTGTAATCGAGATTTCATTATTTTCTGAAATATTTATTAAAAAGCTAGTGTTGTTATTTTTCAATTAATTGCAAATTTCATTATGACAATTTTGTAATTACATTACAGGAAAACTACAAATCGCAGAGATATGATTTTATAATAAAATGAACCTCTGATTATTTATGTTTCATTTAAGTATAAATAGTTAGTTATATATGCTACGATCCAAGAAATATTCATTAAAATTTGGAGGTGTTGATAACAAATTTCTTAATATCAATTTTGTAATTAAATTACCGAAAATTTACAAATCTCAGCAATATGATTTTAAACATAAATTAATCTCTGATTATTTAATTTTCATTTAAGTATAAACATATAGTCAAGTCTTCATTGCTTCCTGAAATATTCATTAAAAAGCTAGAGTTGTTATTTTTCAATTAATTGCAAATTTCATTATGACAATTGTGTAATTAAATTACAGTAAAACTACAAATCGCAGAGATATGATTTTATAATCAAATTAATCTCTGATTATTTATGTTTCATTTAAGTATAAATGGTTAGTAATATATGCTATGATTAAAGAAATATGCATTAAAAATTGGATGTGTTGATTCTCGAATAATTATAAATTTTGTAATTAAATTACTGAAAAATTACAAATCTCAGAAATATGATTTTAAACATAAATTAATCTCTGATTATTTAACTTTCATTTAAGTATAAATGCGTAATCAAGACTTCATTATTTTCTGAAATATTTATTAAAAAGCTAGAGTTGTTATTTTTTAATTAATTGCAAATTTCATTATGACAATTTTGTAATTAAATTACAGGAAAACTACAAATCTCAGAGATATAATTTTATAATCAAATTAATCTCTGATTATTTATGTTTCATTTAAGTATAAATAGTTAGTAATATATGGTATGATTCAAGAAATATTCATTGAAAATTGGAAGTGTTGATTACAAGTTTCTTAATATCAATTTTGTAATTAAATTACAGGCAAACTACAAATCGCAGAGATATGATTTTATAATCAAATTAATCTATGATTATTTATGTTTCATTTAAGTGTAAATAGTTAGTAATATATGGTATGATTCAAGAAATATTCATTAAAAATTAAAGGTGTTGATTACAAGTTTCTTAATATCAATTTTGTAATTAAATTACTGAAAAATTACAAATCTCAGAAATATGATTATAAAGATAAATTAATCTCTAACTATTTAACTTTCATTTAAGTATAAATATATAGTCAAGACTTCTTTACTTCTTGAAATATTTACTAAAAATAAAGGTGTTGCTAATATGTCGATTTTGAAATCAAATTACTATAAAATTAAAAATAATGTGATTCTATAATTATTATAAACTGTAACTAATTATCTTTTGTATAATTATAAATATTTTATAGTGTTTACATTGATTTATTGAAAATTAGAGTTGTAGCATTTTCGTTTAATTATAAATTTCATTGGATCAATTTTGAAGTGAAATTGCTAGAAAAGTACAAATCATGGAAATATGATTGTTCACTTAAATTAAGCTCTAATTATTTATCTTTCACTTAAGTATAAAAGTATAGTAAAGACTTCACTGATTCAAAAAACATTCACTAAATGTTAGAGGTGTTGCATTAATTACTGAAAAACTGCAAATCTCAGAAACACTATTGGTATAGACGTAGGAAATCGTTCTTTTCATAACTTATTCTTGCATTCGAAGGAAGAGATGCATGTAGATTCTCTTATTGTTATGCTCTTCGTAAATTAATGGATGTTTACTTGAAGAGAAAACGCAATACACTTTGCGACTGTCTCTCAAAGGCACGAAACGAACGATGCAAAGAGGGCTGTGAATGTGTATGGAGGATGGAGGGTGGAGGTGGGTGTGCGAAGGAGGGGTTGGTTTGGTTGTACGGTCGAAGCGAGAGGCGGCGTTTCGGAAACAGAAAAGGACCATAATAAATGTTGACGTTCGCGCGACGGCCTCGTAATTAAAAGCCCTTGCACCGACGCCTGTGCACAACTTTGCCAGCTACCAATTAATAGAGCGAACGAACGATAAAACATTAGAAAAATTAAATTACTGTACACTTTCTACTGAGATATTAATTGCAGCAGCGGCTTTCAACTAAATTGTACGAGAGATGCGCACAAAAAAAGGAGAGATACAAAGTTGCAGAGTTCTCATCCTTACTTTGAAATTTGATTAAAGTCACAGAAAAGCTCACTTAACGCTTTCTCAACAATAATCAAACAATCCGTAGTAAAATCGTTTGTTTTATCATCAAGCATTCATCTGTTGTTACCATGGTTACAGCAGTGACAGGTGTGTGTGTTTGTATGATAACTAGAGAATTCGAGATTGCGGCGTCGTCTTTGAATATTCATCGTCGCGCGTTAATCGCGTTAAGGACACGAATTTTGGTCTTAATTCGCTGCGAGACGCCCGTAATGAATTAAGTATGAAACGGTGTTTCGGCAGCAAAGAGTTGCCGATCGTGCACGTATTATTTATTATTAGGTTTTGAATGCGTGCAGAAAGTTTGAATTTTCTCGGATTCGAAAGATGAAACTGCAGAGTTTCAGGGAACAAACTTGAAGTGTGTAATCGTGTTTCAGCGTACCTGAAATATTACTTAGATATTAAACTATAATTATGTAACTTTCATTCATTTAAGTGTAAATATGTGCTAAAGTTTACAAATAATTACGAATTTATTTTTATCAATTTTGTAATGAGAATTACTAAAAAACTAGAAATCTCAGAAAGATGATTTTACGCTTAAATGAATCTCTAATTATATATCTTCAATTTAAGTAAAAATATGTAGATCAAATTTCATTGATTTTTGAAATATTTAAAAAAATTGGGGTTGTTGCATTTTGATTAATAATTAATTTAATTAATTCAATTTTGTAATGAGAATTACAGAAAAACTATAATTCTCAGAAAGATGATTTTATACTTAAATTAATCTCTAATTATATATCTTTAATTTAAGTATAAATATGTAGATAAAATTTGATTGATTTCTGAAATATATAAAAAAATTGGGGTTGTTGCATTTCGATTAATAATTAATTTCATTAGTTCAAATTTGCAATGAGAATTACAGAAAAATTATAAATCTCAAAAAGATGATTTTACACTTAAATTAATCTCTAATTATATATCTTTAATTTAAGTATAAATATGTAGATACAATTTCATTGATTTCTGAAATATATAAAAAAAATGGGGTTGTTGCATTTTGATTAATAATTAATTTCATTAGTTCAATTTTGTAATGAGAATTACTAAAAAACTATAAATCTCAGAAAGATGATTTTATAGTTAAATTAATCTCTAATTATATATCTTTAATTTAAGTATAAAATGTAGATAAAATGTGATTGATTTCTGAAATTTTATAAAGAAATTGGGGTTGTTGCATTTCGGTTAATAATTAATTTCCAGATTTCCAGATTTTACAATCAAATTAATCTTTGATTATTTGTCTTTCATATAACTATAAATGTATAGTATTAAATTTAATGATTCAAAGAATTTTTATTAAAAATTGGAGATGTTGATTTTCAAATAATTACGAATTTATTTATATCAATTTTGTAATGAAATTATAGAAAAACTACAAATCTCAGAAATATGATTTCATAACCAAATTAATCTGACTTTACAATCAAATTTAATCTTTGATTATTTGTCTTTCATTTAAGTATAAATGTATAGTATTAAATGCAATGATTCAAGGAATATTTATTAAAAATTGGAGCTGTCGATTTTCAAATAATTACGAATTTATTTATTTATATCAATTTTGTAATGAAATTAGAGAAAAACTACAAATCTCAGAAATATGATTTCATAACCAAATTAATCTTTGATTATTTGTTTTTGATTTAAGTATAAATGTATAGTGTTAAATGCAATGATTCAAGGAATATTTATTAAAAATTGGAGCTGTTGATTTTCAAATAATTACGAATTTATTTATATCAATTTTGTAATGAAATTATAGAAAAACCACAAATCTCAGAAATATGATTTTACAATCACATTATTCTTTGATTATTTATCTTTCATTTAAGTATAAATGTATAGTATTAAATGCAATGATTCAAGGAATATTTATTAAAAATTGGAGATGTTGATTTTCAAATAATTACGAATTTATTTATATCAATTTTGTAATGAAATTATAGAAAAACCACAAATCTCAGAAATATAATTTTACAATCAAATTAATCTTTGATTATTTGTCTTTCAATTAAGTATAAATGTAAAGTGTTATATGAAATGATTCAAGGAATATTTATTGAAAATTAAATGTGTTGATTTTCGACTAACAATATGTTATAATTATGATATCCAAGTCATTTAAAGATGTAGATGTAAAGACTTTTAGACATGTAGAGGAGACTTGTAAAAGCATCAAATGCAGTTGATGTGAGACGTGTCTTAAGAGGAGTCCCATTATCCCAACATTATGTATTTGAAGTCGGACGTCGGTTCACCAAAAGGCGGATCCATTGTGGTCCTGGGGCTCACGTACAAAGGGCCCAGCGTCTCCAGATTGCAGCAAGCCTTGGAACTTCGCCAACCGACTTCACCTTCACACAAAAACAACAACAAAAAAAAAAACATTAATTACATTTAAATTTGTATCAAATTTCTTGTTATAATAAATCCATCCGGATTGTAATATAAATAAAAATTAGAGACGACTAAATAAAATTTGAAGAAGGCAAACTAAAAAAGAGAAAAAAAAGGGACGAAATGGAATGCAATTAGTTGGCATTCTACTTTTAATTCGACTAATTAGTGTGGAGCTTTTGATGGCGGCGGCGGCGGCGAAAAGGTGCAGTAGGTGTACCTTTCCTTCTCTTTCTCTCTCATTTTCTTTCATCTTGGGGGGGAAATGCTTTCATCTTTCTCTTTCGGTTTCCCCCTTATCTACTGCCGCCCCCCGACGTCGCGTTTGATTCGGAATTGTGTGACGGGGGAAAGTTTCGCTCTTTTCCACTAATTAAACGACTTTCTAACTACATAATCGAGCCATATAATATTCGTTTTTTCCCTTCATTATAAATAAGAGGAGAAGAATAAGGGAGAGGGCGAAAGCGGTGGAGACTCTCTTCTCTCCCTGGTTATGTGTGTGGCAATTACATCTGCGGCTGTATATTAATTACTCGGATGCTGGAGGAATGCATAATTAGGAGATCTGCAGCCGCCTCCACCGCCAACTCTCTCTCTTCCTTTCACCGCAGCAACATCCGCCGCCTCCCCTGTTCTCACGCTCGAACAGTTGGCGACAGGTGAGAGACGCTCACTGCGATACATACACTATGATAAATAAATTTGCTCCCAGACGTTCCACCAATATAATTAATTCATCCTCAACATTTACCCTTTTCACATGATCCACGCACTAATTCATATCTTCATCACCTTTAATTACATATCTTATTAAGTTACATTTATTAAACAATTGATTCTGAAGCTTACAATATGGTTTTTTAAATAAAATTACTAAAAAACTATAAATACGAGAAATATGATTTAATAATCAAATTAATGTGTGATTATCTGCCTTTAATTTAAGTATAAATATAAAGTAATAGTTGTTATGATTTAAGAAATATTTATTAATAATTAGAAGTGTTGCATTTCCATTAAATACAAATTAATTTTTTTTCAATTTTCTAATAAGAATTACTAAAAAACTATAAATATTAGAAAGATGATTTTATAATAAAATTAATGTGTGATTATTTGCCTTTCATTTAAGTATAAATATATAGTAATAGTTGCTATGCTTTAAGAAATCTTTATTAATACTTAAAGATGTTGCATTTCGATTAATTGCAAAGTAATTTTTATCAATTTTCTAATGAGAATTACTAAAAAACTATAAACATAAGAAATATGTTTCTTTAATCAAATTAATGTGTGATTATTTACCTTTAATTTAAGAAAATATATAGTAATAGTTGCTATGATTTAAGAATTATTTATTATTAATTAGAAGTGTTGCATTTCCATCAATTACAAATTTATTTTTATCAATATTTTAATGAGAATTACTAAAACACTATAAATACGAAAAAGATGATTTTTTAATCAAATTAATGTGTGATTATTTGTCTTTAATTTAAGTACAAATATATAGCAAAAGTTGCTATGATTTAAGAAATAATTATTAATAATTAGAGGTGTTGCATTTATTTTTATACAATTTTGTAAATAGAATTACTAAAAAACTGTAAATAGCAGAAAGATGGTTTAATAATCAAATTAATGTGTGATTATTTGCCTCTAATTTAAGTATAAATATGTAGGAGTAGTTGCTATGATTTAAGAAATATTTATTAATAATTAGAAGTGTTGCATTTCGATTAATTACAAAGTAATTTTTATCAATTTTGTAACGAGAATTACTAAAAAACTATAAATATCAGAAAGATGATTTTATCATGAAATTAATGTGTGATTATTTACCTTTAATTTAAGTATAAATATATAGTTATAATTGCTATGATTTAAGAAATATTTATTAGTAATTAGAGGTGTTGTATTTCTATTAATTACAAATTAATTTATATCAATTTTGTAATGAGAATTACTAAAAAACTATAAATATTAGAAAGATGATTTTATTATCAAATTAATGTGTGATTATTTGTCTTTAATTTAAGTATAAATATATAGCAATAATTGCTATGATTTAAGAAATATTTATTAATAATTAGAAGTATTACATTTCGATTAACTACAAATATATCTTTATCAATTTTGTAATGAGAATTACTAAAAAAATATAAATATCAGAAAGATTATTTTATAATCAAATTAATGTGTGATTATTTGTATTTAATTTAAGTATAAATATATAGTAATAGTTGCTATGATTTAAGAAATATTTATTATTAATTAGAAGTGTTGCATTTCTATTAATTACAAAATTATTTTTATCAATTTTCTAATGAAAATTACTAAAAAAAACTATAAACATTAGAAAGATGATTTTATCATGAAATTAATATGTGATCATTTGCCTTTAATTTAAGTATAAATATGTAGTAGTAGTTGCAATGATTTAAGAAATATTTATTAATAATTAGAAGTGTCGCATTTCGAATAATTACAAATTTATTTTTATCAATTTTTTAATGAGAATTACTAAAAAACTATAAATACGAGAAAGATTATTTTATAATCAAATTAACCTTTGATTATTTATGTTTCATAAGTATAAATAGTTAGTAATAGTTGCTATGATTTAAGAAATATTTATTAATAATTAGAAGTGTTGCATTTCGATCAATTACAAATTAATTTTTATCAATTTTGTAATGAGAATTACTAAAAAACTATGAATATCAGAAAGATGATTTAATAATCAAATTAATGTGTGATTATTTACTTTTAATTTAAGTATAAACATATAGTAATAGTTGCTATGATTTAAGAAATATTAATTAATAATTGGAGATGTTGCATTTCAATTTTGCAATTAAATTACAGAAAAGGTACAAATCTCAGAAAGATGATTTTATAATCAAATTAATCATTGATTATTTGTATTTAATTTATGTATGAATATGTAACAATAATTAGAATGGTTCAAGAAATATTTATTAAAAATTAAAGTTATTAATTTCCGACTAACAACAAATTTCTTTTTATCAATTTTGTAATGAAATTACGGAAAAACTACAAATCTCAGCTTTCTTATTTACATTTAACTGTGATTATTTGTCTTTTATTTAAGTATAAATAATTACTGATGCAATGATTCAAGATGCAAGAAATATCAATTGATTATGAAACTTACAATATTATTCTGCATAGTAACCTGAAATGAAATAGCAATAGAAGATCGACACTGATAAAAAAAAAGGAGAAGGAGAAGACAAACTGAAGGATTTAAGGGGTGTCTGTGGCAGGTCGAAAATAAATATTACATCACGCGCTCTTCGCTTGCTCGAGTCCAATAAATCTTTCGCCTTTTGCCACTCTAATAACATTAGAGGGGCGGCGTTCGAAAATTAAGTCTCGGCCGAAGAAATAAATGTATGAATGTGCGGTCATCGGAGGAGGACGTACGAAGGTTAACCGGGATTTATGTGGACAAAATGTGTCACCGCAATTCTGCAATTTATGTAATCATATTCGTCGCTGCTACTGCTGCTGCCTGCACCTCATCATTTTAATTAACTCAACTCGACTCTCTCTCTCTCTTAGCAATTCGCCACAATTCCGCACACTCAGAGATATCAACGGCGAAGAAATTTGACAATCCACGTTCGCATTTCCATGCAAATTAGTGTATACATGTGTATGCAGATTTCAGCTCGAAACTAGGGTAAGATATTAAAGCAACTCACATTACATACACTTACGGTTTTTCACTAATAGGTAGATTTAACAAATATTACATTAAACACGTTGTATTCTACAAATACTCAGCTTTCTTTTTCATGTTTAATCATCTTTATACGATTTATAGTTTTCGAGTAATTTAGAAAAATGTGAAGACACTGGATTAAATGTTAATACTTTTAATTTGACCACAAATTACAGCCTAACGCCTGAAGCTGCAAATATAAAACTATATACTTTTAAATCTACAAATATTCAGCTTTCTTTTACATGTTTAATCATCTTTATACGATTTATAGTTTTCGAGTAATTTAGAAAAATGTGAAGACATTGGGTTAAATGTTAATACTTTCATTTTGACCGAAAATTACAGCTAAACGCCTGAAGCTACAAATATAAAACTATATACCTTTAAATCTACAAATATTCAGCTTTCATTTTCATGTTTAATCATCTTTATATAATTTATAGTTTTCGAGTAATTTAGAAAAATGTGAAGACACTGGGCTAAATGTTAGTACTTTCATTTTGACCGAAAATTACAGCCAAACGCCTGAAGCTGCAAATATAAAACTATATACTTTTCAATCTACAAATATTCAGCTTACATTTCCATGTTTAATCATCTTTATACGATTTATAGTTTTCGAGTAATTTAGAAAAATGTGAAGACACTGGGCTAAATGTTAGTACTTTCATTTTGACAAAAAATTACAACCAAACGCCTGAAGCTAAGTATATAAAACTATATACTTTTCGATCTACAAACATTCAGCTTACATTTCCATGTTTAATCATCTTTATACGATTTATAGTTTTCAAGTAATTTAGAAAAATGTGAAGACACAGGGTTAAATGTTAGTAATTTGACAGCAAATTACAGCCAAACGCCTGAAGCTGTAAATATAAAACTATATACTTTTCAATCTACAAATATTCAGCTTTCTTTTACATGTTTAATCATCTTTATACGATTTATAGTTTTCGAGTAATTTAGAAAAATGTGAAGACACTGGGCTAAATGTTAGTACTTTCATTTTGACAGCAAATTACAGCCAAACGCCAGAAGCTACAAATATAAAACTATATACCTTTAAATCTACAAATATTCAGCTTTCTTTTTCATATTTAATCATCTTTATACGATTTATAGTTTTCTAATAATTTAGAAAAATGTGAAGACACTGGGTTAGTTGTTAGTACTTTCATTTTGACAGCAAATTACAGCCAAACGCCTGAAGATGTAAATATAAAACTATATACTTTTCAATCTACAAATATTCAGCTTTCTTTTACATGTTTAATAATCTTTATACAATTTATAGTTTTCGAGTAATTTAGAAAAATGTGAAGACACTGGCTTAAATGTTAGTACTTTCATTTTGACAAAAAATTACAGCCAAACGCCTGAAGCTGCAAATATAAAACTATATACTTTTCAATCTACAAATATTCAGGTTACATTTCCATGTTTAATCATCTTTATACGATTTATAGTTTTCGAGTAATTTAGAAAAATGTGAAGACACTGGGCTAAATGTTAGTACTTTCATTTTGACCGAAAATTACAGCTAAACACCTGAAGCTGCAAATATGAAACTTTATATCTTTAAATCTACAAATATTCAGCTTTCATTCTCATGTTTAATTGTCTTTATACGATTTATAATTTTCGAGTAATTTAGAAAAATGTGAAAACATTGGGTTAAATGTTAGTACTTTCATTTTGACATCAAATTACAGCCAAACGCCTGAAGCTACAAAGATAAAACTATATACCTTTCAATCTACAAATATTCAGCTTTATAGTTTTCGAGTAATTTAGAAAAATGTGAAGACACTGGGTTAAATGTTAATACTTTTAATTTGACAACAAATTACAGCCAAACTCCTGAAGCTACAAATATAAAACAATATACTTTTGAAACTACAAATATTCAGCTCTAATTTACAAGTTTAATAGCCTTTCTGTGATTTATACATTTAAAATAATTTACAAAAATGTGTATGCAAAAATTGGATTGATTAATTCGTTCCTACCTGCGGTTTAGGGTTTCTACGAAATTATTCTTATTTTTTTGCTTGAGGGAGAGAGAGGTGAAAGAAATAAAGATGAGTTTGAGTATGAAATATGTGCAGGAAGGGCCGTGGAAAAAGCTGTTTTAAATAATTTCAAGCTGAGGGAGCTGAGATGGATAAAGCGGTTTTATTTTGGTCCGGAATAATTCAACTATGTGCGTGTGTGTGTGTGTTGCGCTGCAAGAAGTTGCAGGGTTCAGAGGGGAGGGAAAAGGACGAAAGTCCGGGTGAGCGGCTCCAAAAGACAGCAGCAGCAGGAACAGCAGGAGCAATGGAAAACGGTAGCAGCATCAGCTCGGCTCAGCGCAGCTCACCTGTAGTAGTCAAGGGCATCGGCCCGGAAGATTCCGGATCTCGTGTAGACACAGCTGGAAGCTTAGGTCCTTTTCTCCTTGTTGTCATCGTCCCCCTGCCGCCTACGCTGTATTCCTGCTGCTCACTAATACTCGGCTCGCGTGCTATTTGCAGACAACGCTTCAACAAAACAAAACAAACCAAAACTAAAACAACCACTAGAAACACCTCAAATCTTCACTACATCTAATCCAAACATCTTTCAGAGAACCGAAAAGAAGAAATCAATCCAAGTTTAATTTACGATTTGAATACTGCGACCGTATTTCCAAAAATTGTCTTTCTGTTTCTTTTTCATGTATACTTTTTACGTTGCGTCACGTTCGTTCATTCGCATCGCTGGAAACTGAATAATTTTCCTCTTCCGCCGTCGCCGCCGCCGCCGCCGCCAGAGCCGAATCTATCAAAGTCACTTCACTACGGGAATCGACCAGGAATTACAAATCGCACATCCATCCATCATTTCCATAACCGCATTACACACACACACACACGAAAAAAAATGTAGCCCTTCCGAATGTTAACACATTCCGGTTCTGTCCACATCCTTCATTTGCAATCTTCACACTTGATAAACACCTAACGTCAATCAGAAATACCCACTGCACACTCGCATATAGAGGTAGTAATAGCATTGCATAATATTTAGTGATCTTCACCTTTGATTCTGCAAAATTTCATTGTAAATATAGTTGATTTTGAACATATTTTCATTTTAACTATTCACAATTTTTCAGGACTTACTTTGATTGTTTTTTTTAACAATTTCACGTATAAATTTCAAAGCTTTTTTTAAAACTAATTGTATCCAATCTCTTGAAATTCTGTAAATCCTTTTTATTTCGTTTGTTTTTCGTCGATTTTGAACGTATTTTCATTTTAACTATTCACAATTTTTCAAGATTTACTTTGTTTTTTTAACAATTTCACGTATAAATTTCTAAGATTTTTTTAAAACTAATTGTATCCAATCTCTTGGAATTCTGTAAATCCCTTTTATTTCGTTCGTTTTTCGTCGCGATTCACTTAACGTAACGTAAATTGGTAAACTAATCTTCACCTTTCTTTTTTGTCTCATAATAAGGCAAAACTTCATTGTAAATATGGTTGATGTTGAAAGTATTTTCTTTTTAACTATTCACAATTTTTCAAGACTTTTTTTTAAACTAATTATGTATAATCTCCTGAAATTCTGTAAATTTCTTTTATTTCGTTCGTTTTTCGTCGCGATTCACTTAACGTAACGTAAATTGGTAAACTAATCTTCACCTTTCTTTCTTGTCTCATAATACTACAAAACTTCATTGTAAATATGGCTGATTTTGAACGTATTTTCATTTTAACTATTCACAATTTTTCAAGACTTACTTTGATTGTTTTTATAACAGTTTCACGTATAAATACTAATTATGTACAATCTCCTGAAATTCTGTAAATCCCTTTTATTTCGTTCGTTTTTCGTCGCGATTCACTTAACGTCGCAACGGCTTTGACATTAAACAAACGCGAAACGCTAATTGGTAAACTAATCTTCGCCTTTCTTTCTTGTCTCATAATACTGCAAAACTTCATTGTAAATATGGTTGATTTTGAAAGTATTTTCATTTTAACTATTCACAATTTTTCAAAACTTACTTTGATTGTTTTTATAACAGTTTCACGTATAAATTTCAAGACTTTTTTAAAACTAATTATGTACAATCTCCTGAAATTCTGTAAATCCCTTTTATTTCGTTCGTTTTTCGTCGCGATTCGCTTAACGTCGCAACGGTTTCGACATTAAACAAACGCGAAACGCTAATTAGTAAACTAATCTTCGCCTTTCTTTCTTGTCTCATAATACTGCAAAACTTCATTGTAAATATGGTTGATTTTGAAAGTATTTTTATTTTAACTATTCACAATTTTTCAATACTTACTTTGATTGTTTTTTATAACAGTTTCACGTATAAATTTCAAGATTTTTTCAAACTAATTATGTCCAATCTCCTGAAATTCTGTAAATCTTTTTTATTTCGTTCGTTTTTCGTCGCGATTCGCTTAACGTCGCAACGGTTTCGACATTAAACAAACGCGAAACGCTAATTAGTAAACTAATCTTCGCCTTTCTTTCTTATCTCATAATAAGGCAAAACTTCATTGTAAATATAGTTGATTTTGAACGTATTTTCATTTTAACTATTCACAATTTTTCAAGACTTACTTTGATTGTTTTTATAACAGTTTCACGTATAAATTTCAAGGCTTTTTTTAAACTAATTATGTACAATCTTCTGAAATTCTGTAAATTCCTTTTATTTCGTTCGTTTTTCGTCGCGATTCACTTAACGTCGCAACGGCTTCAACATTAAACAAACGCGAAACGCTAATTAGTAAACTAATCTTCACCTTTATTTCTTGTCTCATAATACTGCAAAACTTCATTGTAAATATGGTTGATTTTGAAATTATTTTCATTTTAACTACTGACTATTTTTCAAGATTTACTTTGATTGTTTTTTTTTAACAATTTCACGTATAAATTTCAAAGCTTTTTTTAAAACTAATTAAATCCAATCTCTTGGAATTCTGTAAATCCTTTTTACTCCGTCGCAACGGTTTCGACATTAAACAAACGCTAATTAGTAAACTAATCTTCACTTTCCTTTCTTGTCTCATAATACTGCAAAACTTCATTGTAAATATGGTTAATTTTTAACGTATTTTCATTTTAACTATTCACAATTTTTCAAGACTTACTTTGTTTGTTTTTATAACAGTTTCACGTATAAATTTCAAAACTTTTTTACATTAATTATGTACAATCTCCTGAAATTCCTTTTATTTCGTTTTTTCTGTCGCGATTCACTTAACGTCGCAACGGATTAGAAACGTAAATTGGTAAACTAATTCTTCTTTTCTTCTCTCATAATACTACAAAACTTCATTGAAAATATGGTTGATTTGAACTATTCTCAATTTTTCAGCCCTTACTTTGATTGTTTTTTTTTAAGATTTACAAGGTATTTTGTTGTAATTAAACAAAAGTGAAATACCGTACGTACCTGATCGGAATCCAATAGGAACGACCACCTCTTTCCCCATCTCTCGCTCGTCCTCCTCTCAGTTCCGATCTGCTCCTTCCTAACAACAAGAAACGAATAAACAATACCAGATAATAAGTCAGTAAGTCTACTCACATCACTCCATCTTTAAGCACGAAATTATTCATCTTTTTCCGATCGGGATTCCGATTTATCGTTTGTCGACGCAACGAGACGCCCTTTGTTTGTTCGATTACGAAACGTTCGCATGGAAATAAGTAAGGAAGGAGGAGGAGGAAAGCGTTGCGCATTGCACCGGAAAACAAACGAACTAAAAACAAATGAAATTGATTTGATGCATATCTAGTTAACTTATAAATTGATTCTGTTTTCTTTTTTAAATGTTCTCTCATTTTTTTTTCAGAATCAATTTGTGAGTTTGCAGACAATATATCTTTTGTAATCTAAAAGTCTGTTTCGATTCAATGTTTGCAATAAATTATACTTGAAATCAGTTATGAGATTTATAAATAATACATTTTTTTTAAGTATTAAACAGTAAGAGTTAAAGTTGTAGATCGAATGAGAATGAGATAAAAGTTTTTCGAACAATATCTCTTCGCAAATAAAATTCCAATTACAAGTTTAACCGTCGATGATTAGTTATAGGGGACGTTCGGTGCGCAAACTTCCCTTCCCTTCCCTTTCCCAGAGTTAGCGATTGAATCCGCAGGATTAATTAAAAACCGTAAAAAAACAACGAAAAAAGTGTAGGTTTGAGAGAAATACAGATTAAGAGAGAAAAAAACAGAAATTGAAAGAGGGGATTGGGAATAATTATGAAAGAAACTGGCAGTAAATAAAACTTGACTCGGAAATATGATATATATTCGGTTTCGTCCATCCAGAAATTAATTGTGATTCAATTGCGAATGAAATATTTCAATTTTTTGCTGCGTTAGTTTAATTAAGAGAAAAAAAAAAGAGAATTTGATTGGTTTTAGTTTTCATTTTGCTTCTTTCCTGTTGGATGGATCTGGAAGAGTTTCTGCAAGTTTCGAGTGTGTAGAAAGAGAGATGGAGAGAATTTCTCGTTGACTAACCTGGGGGGCTACAAATCCAGTTCCAAGTGGAAAAGTTAAGGGAGAAAGAGTGAGAGACCAGACAAATTTTCGCAAATAAATAATCTCTCCCCGGGATAAAACAAGAATCGGGCACACGGATCGCGCGGATGGCGCACAGAGAAGAAGTTAAAGGAAGAGAAACTTTTTCGCGTAATCTCCTACCTCTAACCTCTTTCTCACTGTACTCGTTCTTTCTGGAAAACCCTCCGACCGTAGTAATTTAAACCCGATAATCGGAAGTTCGAGGACGGCGGAAAGAAAAACAAAAGCGAAGAGAGAAAGAGAACAAAAGAAATGAGACGCTTCAAAAATAGTGAGCGAGTGAGTGAGTGAGGGTGAGGTAATAAGGAAGTTGGCAAGTCTAAGCCTTTCGCTCTCCCCTTCTTCCTCGAGTGTGGATTCTGCTAATAACACATCCATCCATAAGTTGGCTAATTCAATCAAGCAGCATGCATTATTGTCATGGAAACTTGCGCTGCGTGACTCATAAAGCGTTAATCTGCGAGTCCAAATTGCGGCTCTAAGTGCATCCTCTACTACTTCTCTTTCTCTCTCCCAAAGCCCGATCAATCTCTCGTCTCCGTCGTCGTCGTCGCTTTGGTAACGGTTCAGCAGCATCCCCTCTGAACCCGGTAATGCACCAGAGCCGCTAATTAGCACTTAATCACCACCCTCACTACATCCTCATCCCTCTCCACGCAGCAGCAGCAGCGGTTAAAACCGGCGCCGAAACTGCTGGAACCGACGGAGGACACTTTTAAAAGCCATCACACACATTCTTATCGCTGCCAGAGAGAGAGAGAGTGGGAGAGCTTAGTTATACGTGCTCTGCAGATGAGACGACCGGGGGCCGCAAGATTAATGCCCTTCTGCCACGGTCCGAAATAAAAATACTTTATCTGCTCGCGCCGTTAAAAACAGGAAACTTGCAAAGCAGCGCGCGGAAAAAGTAGCAAAAAATAATAAAATTGGAGTAAAAAAAAGAAGGAGAATAAAAGCGCATTTTTCATTCGCTAACATATTTCGATCGTTTCGTGAGCACGAGAAAATGTATAGAATTTATGTTACTTTAAATCAATCAGTTTGTAAGTTAATCAATGTTAGAGATAGTGTATATTAGTCTGAATTAGATTGTGTTAATCTGTATTAGACTATGTTGATTTTTGTATTTAGTCTAAGATTGTCTAAGTTAGTTTAAGTTAGTCTATATCAGTTTATGTTCGTCAATGTTAGTCTATGTTAATATACGTTAGTTTAAGATAGTCTAAGTTAGTTTATACTAACTATATTACTATACATGAGTTTATGTTAGTTCTATGTTAGTCTATGTTAGTCTATGTTAGTCTATGTTAGTCTATGTTAGTCTATGTTAGTCTATGTTAGTCTATGTTAGTCTATGTTAATCTATGTTAGTCTACGTTAGGCTACGTTAATCTACGTTTGTCTATGTTAGTCTACGTCAGTGGTATCCAAACTTGATGTTACTACGCCTCCCTCAAAAGTATGTAATCATTTGGCGCCTCCCCACCCA